GGCCCTGCGGGTACACGGGCTCCCACATCAGCTGGTGGCTGCGCATGAAGCTGATCACCTCATCAGGGAAGTCCTTGGTGGACTGCAGGAGGGGGTCGTACGTCTCACTGGGGCACTGTGTGACAGCATGGAGGGACTGCATCAGGGCCAAGCCAGTCTGTCCCAGTCCCCCCCCCACCTGCTTCCCAGCCCCTTACCATGCCAGGACGGGGGTAGGGGATGCGGCCCTTGTATTCTACCCAGCGGTAGTCAAATCCCTCCTTGTGTGCAAAGGGGCCACTGAAGGCAGCTCTCACAGCAGCCATGGAGTAGACACAGACAGCAGAGCCACTGAAAATGCTGCTGCAGGGAAGCATAGGGCTGTTGGTGTCTCCACTGCTCCTCAAGGACCAGGCGTATGCAAACCCATGCCCCTGAGCCCATGGTGTCCCTTGTGAGCCCCGGAGCTGTGCATGGCACCCCAGGAGTGACAGAAATCCCTTTGGCACGGCCAGTCCAGCCTGGAGTACCACTGGCTTGACAAATGGGCTGGTGAACCAGCAGCAGGGAAAGAAGGAAAACACCGGTGGACTCTCTTCAGCCAGCTGGGTACTGGTCCTCCCTTCTTCCCTGTAGAGCAGCACTGGCGAGGGGCTGGGGGACAGACTGCCCTATGCTTGGGCTAATCAGGCTCCTGCTTACCTGGAAACCGTGAAGAGACCATATACAAGCGGGTTCTGGGGGTCACGGGTGCGCAGGAGGAAAACGTCCTCTGCAAAGAGAGGGATTGAGGTGAGGCACTCCAGAGCTTGAGGGCCAGTCTTGGAGGATGCAGGTGGACATCCTCAGTGCCATGCCCTCCTCCCTGGGCTGTGCTGGAGGGAGCAGTCATGGCAGAGCAGTGCTTCTCCTGGATGCAGATAAAGCTGTGCACTTACCGAGCTGGTCAAAGTGGGTCTCAGTGCCCTGGGGCCCAGGGATGGAGCACACCAGACGAGCCTTCAGGAACGTGCTCCACCGGTTGATGAGGCTGTGCTTCCCTCCCACATCGTTCTGCCAGGCATCAAGAGCTGGAATCAGTCCAGCCTCTCTCAGCCTCCCCCACAGCTGTGCCCTCCCCATCTCCACAGCAGGACACCCCTGGCCCTGGGCCTTCTGCCGTGTGGTACGAGTGTAGTGACACCCTCACATTCCTCTGCTCAAGATGCTCCTTGGTCCAGAGGAGGTAAAAGCCTACCTGGTGGGACACCTGGCCAGAGTCTGCTGGCCTTAGTGACTGACCTTGCAGACCCTGGCCACCCTGGCATGGATGTGCTGCTGCTCCCACTGACCAGCTTCCACAGCTGTCTCACGGAAGAAGATGTAGACCTTGTCATCCTTTGGGTTGTAGGTATCGGGGATGGCGTAGGCACCAATGAATGCAGGCTCTGTAGTGGGAAGGAGCAGCACAACGTGGCCCTGTGCCCTATTCCCACTCTCTCATACTGCTCTGAAAGCCCCTGGGAGCAGTGTGAGGCTACACAGGGCCCATGGAGACTCAGATACCCAGGAGGCCAAGCCCCATTCCTGGTGCTCAGGCTGTGAAGTGTGTGCTGGAGCATGGGTCCCATGGGTGGCTTCATCAGTGCCTCCTCCCAGACAGGTGAGGAGGCCCAGACCACTGGCCTTAGGGCTGGCCCCAGCTTCTCTCCAGCCAGCAGGAGAGCAGCCCCATGCCCAATGGATCCCCCCTGCTCTTACTGTGTAGCCAGTGGTCCTGGTTCTGCTCCGTGCGGATGTAGCTCTGCTCAGACCCATGGACCCACGTTCGGAAGAAGGCAGCACTGCTGCCCATGAAGTCGCTGGAGGTGCCCGAATACAGCTTCCCATCTGTGGGGTCAGGGAGGTGTGGGTGGGTGCCAGCAGGTCCCAGTACAGACCATTCCCAGCTCTGCCCCTCCCAGCATCGCCTCTGATCCCTTCTCGCTCTTACCAACGAGGAGTCCTGTGAAGGGTTCATGGGGGCTATATGGGCACCGTCCTCGCCCTGATTCCAAGGAGTGGGTCACCAACCGCATAGTGGGAGCCCCAGGACCCTGCCAGAGCCAAGAGGGAGGAATCAGGTCAGGGGAAGGCTGGGAACAAGCTGGGATTGTGGAGGAGTGGGAAGGAGGCGATGAGCATATCCCTCAAGGGGAATGGCAACACCTGATCCCATCTCCATGGAGCATTGCCAAGCTGAGGCTGCTCTTGCCATGCAACTGCCAGGGACTGCACCAGGCTGGCTGCCTTCCCCACGCTCTGGGGCTCCCTCTCCCCAGGCTCCCTGGAAAGCTGGGGGATCTCTTGGCACCTTCTGCCATGGGGACATGTCTGTCCGAGATGTTCCTCACCTTCCCCCTGGCTCCCAGCTGGATGAAGGCACAGACAGGCTGGTAGGAGCCGGTGCCACAGGCGAACACATGGCTCCGGTTGAAGGGCTGGAGGAGGCGGATGAAGTTGGCACACTCCATCTGTGCAGGGGGAGATGTTTGTCATGGCTGAGCCATGGTGTGTCTGCTGGGGATGGAGAGCCTGGCCAGACCCTGCCCTGGCAGCTGGCCAGCTGAGTTTGGCTCTGGCTGGCTCCACAACCTCACTCAAGGCAGAGCCCCAGGCTCTCTGTCAGGGTGATGGGGGTGTTTGATATCCATGGTGAGCTGCCAAAGGTGATGAGTGGGGGCTGCCAGCCCTGCTTACCTCCACATTCTTCCCTGCCAGCTGGCAATGCTCGACCTGTTCCCTGGGGGCTGGCCAGAAAATCTGAAACACAATAACCTCACAGATGTAGCCCCTGCTTCCCTTGGCCCTCCATGGCACCAGTGGGAACAGGTTCAGCCAAAAGGCACTGCCAGCCTCAGGCACATGGCAAGGACATGGGGCTCCTCTGCCACAGGTCTGAGACCCTCCCCAGGGTCCCCAGAGCCCAGCTGAGCCCAGCAGGCACACTGCCAAATCAATCTGGAGTGACCCTAACGTGGGAACAAGGCCTGGGAGGGCCAGGGCACACCCAGGCGGTGGGCAGGCTGTCCTGGATCCCTGCCCATGGGAACGCCAAGCTGCAGAGTCTTAATGGGCTTTTCTTTTGTTGGGCTTGACATTGCTCCCTGCCAGCAGGATGTCTTGGGATGACATTAGTGGACTTGCTGCTGGAGCTCTTGCAGCAGCAGGAGCAGGGAATAGGTGTGACAGCAGGACTCTGGGCACTGCTTGCAGTCCACCCAGGTCACCTCTCCTGGCCAAACTGCCCTGTCCCTCCCTGGTGTCAGCCCATCCCACCAAGTCTCAGCACTGCCAGGCATGGGTTGACCCTACTGATTGAGACATCCTGGTATAAATGTGTCCCTAGTGAGGTTAGAACAGTCCAGTCTGGAGCACATTCACCTCCACACCCTGGCACTGGAACAAGGAGCAGCTCCCTGGGAGGAAGAGGCCAGCCTGGCTCGTGTCATCCTCCTCCCAGCACTGACCTTCTCGGGCTCTCTGCTGGGATGGTCCAGATGAAGCAGGAAGATGTGGTTTTTTGCTCCCACCATCAGCCAGCCCCTGTCTTCATCCACCAAGAGAGCTTGGAAATCCATCCCATCCCCTGAGGCCAGCAGCAGGTGAGAGCTGTTGGATTTCAGCAGGTCTGAGGAACACAATGTGGGAGAAAGAGAAACCCATTCATGAACAACACAACTAGGAGCCAGAAGTACCATGCTTCCCTCCCTGGGACAGCTCTGGTTACCTATCCTTGCTCCGAGGGATTGCAATATTCCTGCCACTGCCTTAGCAACCTACCACCTTCCGTGTCCCAGAGCTCATCATGGAGCCTCCTCCATGTGCCCACCTGGGGGAAAAAGTCACTCCTACAGAGAGAACAACTGCACCAACCTTGACCTTACTGGGCTGATTTGCAGGGCATGGGGCAGGACAGGGGTCCAGCTCCAGGAGGCCAGGGTGCTCAGCTTCCAGTCTACATTCCAGAGGAACTCCCAGATCCCCAAAGCCTCTGCACCCTGAGAGTGTGGGGAGAGGATGGAATGGAGAGGAGACTTGATTGCTCTGACTCCTGACATGTTTTCCCTGGGCTTCAGATCAAGAGAGTTTACATAAAAAAGGTTTTGTCTTTTTGCTGGAGCAAAGCATCCCTCCAAGGAAAGGCTGCATGGAAACAGGGCGGTCATAGCATGGTCTGGACAACCTCTGCACCCACCCCTAAGCCTTTGAGTCTGTGAAATGGCTGCTGGGCTTTAACCCACACACAGGGATGGGCAGGCAGGTGGGTGCACTGGGACGGACTCTTGCAAGGGTCCCCAGCTGCACCCTGGGTGCCATTCCAACCCTACACCCAGCATCCCACATTTCCCACTCTGCCCTGAACATTAGGCTTTCTCGGGAAAAGGGCTTTTTCAGAGCACCCCTTTGGCACTGCTGGAGGGAAGAGCCATCTTGCTGAGGGAAAGTGTGCCATGGAGTCAGCACACTCTGGGGGGATTGGAGACAGGGCAGCGAGAAAGGCTCTGCTGTTTAGGCTGCAGCTCCTCCCTTGCAGCAGTCAGGGCAGCTCTCATGGCCCCTCCAGCACAGTGGCCATGTGGGTGAGCAAGGGGGACAATAAGCTCTTGTCTCTTGGTTAAAACTCCTGAAACAACATCCTTGGGGCCCACATCAGTTCATGATGTGCAGCACCAGGTTTGGGGGCTCGCTGCCTGGGCAAGCGTTTCCCAGTGCTGCTGCACCAGACACAGAAATGCAGCAGCTGCCACCCCCAAGCGCCTGCTCCCCAGGAACAAGGCAGGGGAAAGGGGCACTGAGGCAGGCCACAGGGCTTCCAGAAATCATAACACATTGCTTTCCAAAAGTGCCAGGATGTGGCTGGGGATAGGGGCCAGATATGATGGCAGGCTGCTTCTGGCTTTGGTGCTGTGCAGGGAAAGGGGGCAAAAATGGGGCCATGGGAGGGAGAGATGGAGATGGGCTGCACTGGATGAGGCCTGAGTGGAGGTGGAGTGTGGCTGTGAACCTGGGGAGATCTACAAGACCCAGGTTGAAAATGTGCTCAAAATCATGTGGATTGAAGCAGTGCATCAGGAGAAGAGGGAGGGAGGCTTTTGAGGAGAGCCAGTGCTGGCTGGGTGGATGCAGTGTGGATGGGAGCATGGGTGGATGTGCAGCCCCAGGTGCAGCTGAGGTCTACGTGGGCACGGGCACGGCTCCATCCAGAGGGAACTGACTGACTCGGGAGGTTGTCTCATTTCCTTCCACCCTGTTTCCAGGGCAAAGGGGAAGCAGGGCCAGTGCCTGCAGGTCAGAGAAGCTGCTGATGTCCACTGGTCCCTGTTGGGCCAGGCAGCATGCAGTCCCTGCCTGGATTCACTGTGCTGTATCCAGGTTGTCTCCCAGCTAGCACTTCCAATTCCCCTTCTTCTGGGGTTAGAGTTCCCATTGCTGGGGGGCACAACTCCTCTTCCAGCCAGGTCAAGGAGCTCCTGGCCCTCCTCCTGCTCCCTCAAAAACGGTGCAGAGCCCCACTGCACTCCTCCCCTTCCCTTGGGTGCCTAAGGGTACCAGAGATACAGGGAAGCAGGTTTCCAAGCCGTTTCCCACCAGCTGAATAGGATTAACAGCTGAATTCCTGTCCCTGCCTGCTGGCCATTGTCCCAGCTGGGGTGTGGTGCATCACTTACCCTCCTGTGTCTGCCAATACTCCCAGGACCTGCCCAGTTTGGGGTGGGAGGGGAGGCAGAGGCAGGGGAGTGTTGGGCAGGACTCTGGGAAGGAGTGGGAGAGAAGGGCCAAGGCTCATCCACTACATGAGTGTAATCAAGCAGATAGGGGACAAGGATGGTCCTAGTGAATGTCATGATGTGATCACCCTCTGACCTGCTCCAGCCCTGTCCAGGGACAAGGTCAAGCAGGACGATGGAGGAGCCCTCCCTGCTGCCATGGTGATACATGGGAGTACCCCAGAAGGACTCACCTCCCTGTATTTGCACTCTCTGGGAGTGAAGATCACCATTAGGGTCTGAGCCTGACCCTGTGCATGGTTCTGCTCCCTCACCAAGGGAATGTCAAGTGCTGGGATCCAGACCCAGGAAGCTGCTGCACACAAACGAGCCTCCTCTCCCCCAGGGCATTTGATCCAAACTCCACCCTGAAGGCAAGGAATCAAGGGCTCTCTGCAATAGCTGTGACTAAACGGATGGATGAGTCTTGGACATACATCCTCTCCTTTGTCTCCGCTGTCTCCCAAGGCCACGATGTTTGTCCTTATTGCCAGAACCACTGTAACTGCCTTACCCCATCCATCATCTCTGTCTGCCCTTCAGCTACAGCATCCTCCGTGCAGGGTGACCCTGGGCTTCCTGAGGTCACAGCCCGGCTGTGCCAGAGGGCTGTTCTCTTCCCATCCCCCTGCCACCAGGAACAGCAGCCCACAGAGGAGATTCCTGAAGTCCAGGGGAAGCTTGGTGCTAAATTGGGTTTCAGTCCCTCACTGCTGCTGTCTGATAAGGGATGTGCCAGGGCAGGTCTTGGTGCCAGTAACAAGGAATCCCATGACCTCCCTGCACTTGGGAGCACGCCGCGTGGTGATGCCCGGCTGGGCTGGCTGCTGATCAAAGGCTGGCAGAGGACCCACCTGCCAGTTCCTGGGATACTCCCACAAGAGGAGCTGGCAGGAGTGCTGTGGTTTCACTCTATAGCCACACTGCTGCACACCCTTGGAGAAGAGAGAGGTTCAGTTTGGGCAGTGTTGGGGCTGAGCCAGCCTGACTCAGCTCACCTGAGTATGCCCCTGCATGGCCAGGGTTGTTGGTGTGCTATTATAAATCTCCTCCTCACCTCTTCGGCAGGGTGGGACCTGCTGCTGTTGATCCTGGCCCCATGCCCTGTGCCCCATCCTTCCTGTGCTTTCCTGGCCGTCACTGCTGTCATTTCCTTCTCTCCAGTCTGCTTGCGTCTTCTTCCCCCACCCTGCCGAGGGCTCTGCCTGCCTCCCCTGTGCTGAGATCTGAAGGCAAGGCTGATCCCGTGGACAGACTCTCAAAGGCCTCCTTTTATTTATTTTTTTTAATTCCTAAGGATTTTTAAACCTAAATTTCTCAAGGCATTGCGTCCTTGAACCTACCCTGTGCTGTCCATGAGTCACATCCCCTTGCCATTGTTCACCTTGTCCTTGAGCCCTCCCGATGCTGGGAGCTTCCTCTGCTGCCTCTGCCCAAGGCGTGAGGGCTTTTGGCATGCCTGGGCCCAGCACACTGTGGGCCTTTGAAGTCAGCTGTCCCTCTGTGCTCCAGCTGCCCCAACAGCCCTGATCTACCTCCTCCAGCTCCAAGGAAAGGCAGACACTGCACTCTGTCTTTGAGCTGGGCTCTCAGCAGAGCCATCTCCTCACAGGGATATCCTGTGTCCCTGAGAGGTCAGCCCTTTCTAACCTCAAACTGGAGGCATCTTCCACCATGCTGGCTGACCCTACCCAGAGAGCTGCTTCTCAAGGTGATGGAGCAGGCCAAGAGGATGGCCCCAGAGCTTGAAGTGCCACATCCATGGGAAAGCTGGTCTGCCCTCTCTCGTGTGGAGAGGGCTGGTCCAGCCCTCCTGATTCTAACAGCCAGAGCACCACGGGATGTGCTGAGCTGCCATCCTCTGGAGCAACTTGCTGATTTTCACATAGGCGAAGCTGCAAGCAGATCAGTTGGCCAAGTCTGTTCTGAAAGTCCATGGCAGGATAGCAGGGTTCTGTGCTAGCTCTTCAGGTCATTCTCCTGTAGAGACCCTTTGCCTAGGCACTGCTTTTCCACGTGTCTGCTGGGCTGTGTGCTGTGCTACCTCTCAGTCTGCCCTTGCTGCATCTCAGGTCAACAAAGCAGTCTCCCTTCTGCATCAGACTCAAGAAGCAAATTGTGGCTCCCCTGGACAGCTCATCATCTAAACAGGTCAGACAGATACAGGGGGGGAGGGAAACATGCAGCAGGGAGATGACCTGCATGGGGGATCAGTCTCTCCTGGCAGGAGAGGAAGGGTGAAGGCAGAAGATCTGAGCTGGGGCAGGACTGTGCTGGTGGAAGGCAGGGGAAGAGGCTGGTGGCACTGTCCTGGGGCTCAACATTCTCACTGCACTGTGAGCTGAAGGCAGGGGACATACTCCAGGAGTGCCCAGTTCAACCCCAGGCCAGGACACACTGAGATGCCCAGAGTGACTCTGAGCAGAAGGAGGCATCCCCTCTGGTCCCAGCGTTGCACTGGGCCAGGGCAGGGCATTCTCTTTTCGGATGCCTATGCAACACTGGCACAGCATCCTCAAGGGTCTGTGCTTGGAGCTGAGACTTTCTGAGGGCCCAGCGTGTGGAGATGTTACAGTCACAACCATGGGGCTGCTTCCTGACCCCCATCCACCCCTTGGCTCCCTGTTTGCAGGACTCTCTCCCAGCCCTCCCAGGCAAGGTGCAGACTCCAAGGAACCCCTTACCTTTGTAGGCGAGGCGAAGGCGTGGGGCATGCTGCTTCCATGCCTTGCTGCTGCCCAGCTGCTGCAGGAGGAGGCAGAGGAGCAGTGTAGTCAGGGCCAGCCCGTGGCCAGGGGCAGCCTGCATGCTGGTGCTGGGCAGTGGGCAGGGTCTGCTTGCCCTCACAGCACCATGGTCCCGTGCCGAGATGCCACCTCCACTGCCAGCTGCAAGTAGAGAAGGGGAAAGACTGCAGCTGGTGCTCAAAGGGCTAGTTTGGGCTCCAGGAAGTCAGCTGTGGCTGGGAGACCTGCTCACCAGCCACCCCTCTGGGAGCTCCAGGGCACCCCATGTACAGGGTCTTCAGAAGACCAGCTATTCCAATCTGCCTCAGGGAGGTGCATGGTGTGATGCCAGTATGCCCATGGCATGTGGTCCTTGGGAGCACTGGGATTCCAGCATCCTGGAGGTGACTGACATGAGGGAAGAGGGAATGAGTACACCCTCCAACAGGCTCTCAGACCTTGGGCATCCTCAACTCAATAGCTGATCAGACCCCAGTGCTTGCCCAGAGCTTGGTGAGGGATCCCTAATATTCATTTTATCTCAGTTTGTGGTTAAACTTCGTCCCTCTCACTGAAAGGGGAATTGGTGCTTTGGAGAGCTTTCCATAAATTTCACTTCTGTGATCCCCTCAACATCATCTGTGGTTGTGTGTGTACATGACACATCACTGGCTGGTAGTCCTGCAAATTGCCCAGTCACCACAGAGCTCTCTGAGGTCACCAGCATCTGCTGGCACTTCTCTTCAGAGTGGTGCAGGGGTTACAGTCTTGTCTGGCAGCTCCCACAGCTCTTGCTGGGAGCAGGGCTGGCCTGCCAGCTCTCACTAATTAATCCAGGCTATTTAGATGCTTTTTCTCCACTTAATATATGCCCCAGTCCCTACATAGCAGCTCTGACTAACTTTTGCTGCATATTAAGTTCTTCCCGTCCCACTAACGAAAGATTTAAAATAAGCTTTTTGGCTCGTTCCTGGCCAGAGGTTCTTGGCATAAGGAGAAGGGGATTCCTGCCATCCCAGCGAAGGACTGTGGGAGGGATGGTGCAGTCAAGACTTTCCAATTGCCTTGGCCTCTGCCTTGCCCAAAAAGGAGTGCTCAGTTCTGCCTAGGGAGAAGGTTTTGGGATGGTGGAGCTGGGGTTTCTTGCCCTCCCAGTAGCAGTGTGTTGGTGGGCCGGGATGCAGCCCCTTGGGATGGGGTGCAGCTCTTCAGCTTCTTTCCTGCCCTTGCTGCTGCCTGGACCTCGTTCTGGCCAGCAGAACCTGCTGCTGCTCCAGAGCCTTCCCCTGAGCCAGAAGACCTGACACCACCCAGGGACATGGATGTCACCTCAGGGTGGTTGTTGTGTCTCTTTAGTTTGGGGATGCTCTCTCAAACCAGTCATCCCTTTCTGGGCAGACTTCAACAGGTCAGCCATGACCTAAGGAAGGGAAAAAAGCATTCCACAAACATGATGGGTTTTTGCTCCTGGATTGTGGATAGAGGAGGTTCCTGGTGGCCCATCAGCCACACTGAATACCTGCTGACAGGCTGTGCTGCCCTCGTTCCCCTACAAACCCCTTCCCAGCAGGCAGCAATGATGAACAGCTTCCCCATGCTGGGATGTTCCAGCCATTTCAGCTCTTCCTGCACTCAGGCCCTGCAGCAGAATCTCCCAGATCCATCCTGTTTACTTGCAGCCACACCCTGAGCAAGCACTGCTGTCACAGGGGCTATCACAAGGACCAGCCTGGGAGTGACAGTGGATGAAAGCTCACCATGAGCTGGCAGCGTGGGTTAGCTGCCCAGAAAGCCAATTGAACCCTGGGTTGAATCAAAAGGAATGTGGCCAGCCGGTCAAAGGAGGAGATTCT